TTTGACCACTGCATAGAATAGGTTTTTATCCTAAGAAAAACATTTCAAATTCCATCATTTTTTAATTTTTCAACTGGACTTTGAAAAATTACAGTGCAAAACAGTATAGTGTTTTCTAAACAATTAGTACTACAGCATGAAATGCATTTAAATCAGCTTGAAATTCACCTGACTAAAGATAGGGACCTAGAATGTCAATTATTTTTCATCCTCAGTCAAAGAGAAGAAAGCTTGTGTCTTTCCACTTTACTGTGAGAAATTTGACCTTTCGATTATTACCATTTATCACATTGCCTCCTTCCCTCACTTGTCAAACTATTTTATGCCAGTTTTCCAATTCAAACAGTAATTACCTAAACCATCTCTTTCATCTTTCAACCTTGCAGCCCAGGTGTAGTAACAGCTACACACGCGCGCGTGCACACAGACTGGGAATCAGTTACACAAACCTGGGGGAAATCTCAAAAGTGATTTATCATTTTTTATCAATGTGCCTGTGAAAAAAATAGAGAAATCCAAGCTAAAAAGAAAAAGAAAAGAAAAAGGAAATTAAAATAGGGCAGCACTGTTGGAGGCCATGAAGGATGTGGTAGTAGAACCAGGACTAGACAGTTTAGTTATTGAAGTGCAAATTATACATGCATTTAAAAGAATATTGCCTTCAAAGATTATACTTTGGAATTCTTTGTGAATTTTCTACAGTGTATGCATTTGCTTTCAGAAATAAAATAGTATTTTTTGAGAGACAGATTAAAATTGTTTGTGAAAAACGGTTCAATTTCCTACTCTCCAAATTGTTGCTTTTATTGAACCAGTGTCTTCCTTCAGTGATTGGCAGTGTTGATATGCCTCTCATAGCATAGGTAAAAAATGCCAGCACAGAGCTGGTGCTTTGAGCCTGCTTATTGTGGGTCTCTTATAGAGCCCAAGTTTTTCACACCAGCACCTAAGGTTTTAACCTTTACCCTTATAGAATTGTATATATGAGAGATTAAAAAATAAAAAATAATGCTAAATTAATTCTTTCTCGAGTTTGTCTAGTCAGACTCTAACTTCTGTATTGTATTATAATATGTAGGCCTAAACTCTGAACTCTCATATTTTTAGTAAGCTAAAGATTGTTTAAGCCACTAAGCCCTTGCTCTTCTTTTAATTATGTCATAGAAATAGTATTAGAAATAAACAAAATGTAATATATTTATAAAGCAACTGTAAAAGTCATGATTTCCGGTAATAATGTAACATTGTGAAGAGTACTCACAATATAACATTGAATTATTAAACAGTATACCAAGTAAATGTGAAGTCTGATACTATTAGAAGTTGATTAAGTTATTTAAAAACTTGGAAGAAAATTACTAAAATGTTTCAGGTGCTATTCTTTTGTTGTTTTTCTGCTTGTATATTTTGTTTTTCAGAGTCAGTTGCTGATAGATATGTATTTATTGCCATTTAATTGTTCACGTTTCTTATCCTCTTTTTCTCTTCAAGAAGACCCTCTAACATTTCACATAGTACTAGTTTGGTGGTGATGAACTGTGTCTGGGAAGCTCTTTATCTGCCCTTTGATTATAAATGATAGCTTTGCTTGATAGAACAATCTTGGCTGTAGGTCCTTGCTTTTCATCACTTTGAATATTTCTTGTCAATCCCTTCTGCAAAGTTTCTGTTGAGAAATCAGCTGACAGTCTTATGGGGACTCCCTTATAGGTAACTAATTGCTTTTCTCTTGCTACTTTTAAGATTCTTTGTCTTTAACTTTTTACATTGTAATTATAATGTGTCTTGGTGTGGACCTCTTTGGGTTCATCTTGTTTGTGACTCTCTGCACTTCCTGCACTTGTATGTCTGTTTCCTTCAAATTAGGAAAGTTTTCTGTCATTATTTTTTCAAATTCCTTACTTCCTTCCCCTTCTAGCACCCCATCATGTAAATGTCAGTACACTTGAAGTTGTCCCAGAGGCTCCTTACACTGTCCTTTTTTTTTTTTTTTTTGATTCTTTTTTTCTTTGCTGTTCTGTTTGTTTTCTGCTTCCTTATATTCCAAATTACTGATTCCATTCTTGGCTTCATCTACTCTACTTTTGATTCCCTGTAAATTATTCTTGATTTCAGTTAGTGTTTCCTTCATTTCTGTCTGTTCCATTTTTATACTTTTTGAAGTTATAAGTTCATTGAGTAGACATGTAATCAGTGTTTTGAAGTCTACATGTAGTAGATTGCTTGGCTCCATTTTGTTTAGTTCTTTTTCTGGAGTTCTCTTCTTTCATTTGGAACATGTTTCTTTGCCTCCTCATTTTAGCAGCCTCCCTGTATTTGTTTCTATTTATGAGGTAGAGTGGCTACATCTCCCAAGCTTGGTAGAGTAGCCTAATGTGTAGTAGGTGTCTGATAGGATCCAGTGGCCCAATCACCCAAGCTGGGCCCTCAAGGTGTGCTCCCAGTGTGGGCTGTGTGCACCGTCCTGTTGTAGCTGAGTCTTGATTGCTGTTGGCACATCAGTAGGGTGTATTTGCTCCCAGGCCAATCAGCTGCAAGGACCAGTTGTGAACACTGACCTCTGACCACTGTGGAGGATCAGCTCTACAGAGGCCCACCTCACAGAACAGGAATTACTTCATCAGTACTCTTGAGTGTGTTGCTTGCAGAGGTAGTTGGGTCATGGTACTTTCATGTGGTCTGAAGCTGTTCACTGGGGCCTCCAGGAGGTGCAAGTCAGGGTCAGCTGCCACCTGTGTTCTGCCCAAGACCACCAGACATGAGCTACAAAGCATTCTGCAGATGGTTGCTACTTGTGCTGGGCTAGGAGGTGCCCAGGTGAGGCCAAGCGGTGAACCAAGATGGGCTGCTGCTAGTGCCAGGCCTATGTCCACTTAGCAAGAGGTACAGGGCACAGTGATGCCAGATGCTGCTTGTTTGAGAGATTTAGTAAAATCTGAAGCATGAGCCAGTACAGACCATTTGTGTGAAAAAAAACACACAGACAGCTTGGGTGGACCTGAAAGTTGGGTAGGACAGGGCCTCAGGGAACCAGGTCAGGGCAAACAGTGTGAGCCAGGTTGATGGAGTTTCAGATATGGCACCTGCCTGCCAGCTCTGTTGGGGGAGGAGGGCTTCAGAAAAGGAACAATGGCCTCTACCAGCACTTCTCTCTGGCAGAAAACTGCCCCCACCCCAGCTCTTGCCCTGATGCTGGACAGTTTAGGTCCTCCTTGTACATCTCTGGTGCCTTTCAAGCTACTGCTCCAGGGCTAGAGCTCAGAATGAGTGAGTCCCAGTAAGTCTGTGCATGGGCCCTTTAAGAGGAACTGCCTGGGATTCCAGGGGCCCTCAGTCTCCCTCAGCATCAATCCCCACTGATTTTTACAGTCAGAAGTTATGGAGATTTCTCTTCCTGGCACTGGAATCCTGAGCTGTGGGGTCTGGTGTAGGGCTGGGACCCCTCACTCCCCAGACAGGACCTCCACAGCCAAAATTTCTCTCCCCATTTTTATCCACTATACCTGGGTGTGGGACCAGTACATTCCACTTCTTCACGCCTCCTGCCAGTCCTGATGTGGCTTCTTCTTTGATTCCATAGTTTAGGAATTACATTAAGCCAGGTATCAGGCAGTTCTGAAGGATGGTTGTTCTGTAGTTTAGTTGTAATTTTGATATGGTTGTGCAACGAGGTGTTTATCTATGCTGCCATCTTGACCAGAAGTTCTCAGGTGGTATTCTTGATGAAATACCTATAGGCTATTTTATTATTTATTTTATAGTTTTCCCATGTTTTTCAGAGTAAAATATGTATTGATTTCATAATTTGAAGGTATATAATGTTCTTTTTAAAACAATTTTTAGAAAGGAAAGCAACAGGAGCAGTGCTCTGAGGAGGCCAGGGAGAAATCAGTGTCACTGTTGAAAGTAAGATTATTGAGCTCCCTATTCATTAGGTGGGTCAGAGGTGTAATAATGATGAAAAATGCCAGCCAGTGACATGCAACAGGTGCAGACCTCTGCTTTACAAGCCCTGGGAACATTTTGAGAATTGCCAGCATTTTGGCCATGTTTTGCAGCTCTCACAGCTGCTGTGTATCAAGCAGATGCTGCTCTAACATTTCAGTTCTGAGATATGAGATCTGACCCAACTGTTCCCAGACACCCCAGGCTTTGACCAACTACCAAGTACCTGACCAGAGTATTGTCATGAGAGCTGTTAAATGAAATTCTGGGGCAAAAGTCATCTGTCATTTAACGTGCTTCCAAAGGTAGTCAAAGGGATAGTTGTTCATCAAAGGCAAAGGGAATATAATATTTCAAAAAAAATAGAACAGGACTGCTATTCAGGAAAAAGAGAACCAATGTTACAACTGAGAGAATTTCAGAGTCCTTGGCTATGAGTCAGGTATTCAGTGTTATATAAGGATTTATCAATCACTGTTTTAAAAGAAAATCAGATAGCCTCTGTGAAATGAAATGAATGAGAGGAGCTTAAGCCAGGATGAAGCAGGTTAGTAATGAGTTCACTCATCACATCTCTTGGCCAAAGAAAACATGCCCCTTCTCCAGAGAGAGAATTTTTCTCCTATCCTAGGAGGTGAAGGAACAAATGAAGTATATGTTGTCCAGGTTTTCAGAGGAGCAAATTTCACTAACAGTATTTTGTAACCTACTCATAAATAGATTGGAAAAGAAATTGTGAGGTAACTGGAGTCTTTATCAGGAATGTCATTCCTGTATAAATGTTAGTCCTGTGCTTAATCCCCTGTCAAAGTATGGAACTCTTAGTCTCATACTGATACACTAAGCCAACATCCCCTACCCATCTCCCAGAATGGTGATTGGGTGTGACTCTGTAAACATGCAGGTACGTGTTTCTTTTTATGATCCTGAAGATGTCAATAGTCATTAGAAGAGCTTTAGTCTTTGGTCAGTTTCCTTAGACTTAGGAGGCATAAAGATACTTGAACTTCTCATTTCAGATTGACCTTGACTTTCCTCATTTTTTTTCACCTCAGATCATCCAGCCCCTCTTAGAACTTGACCAAAATAGAAGCAAATTAAAATTGTATATTGGACACCTGACAGCCCTCTGCCATGACCGAAACCCCCTGATCCTTCGTGGGCTCACTCCACCAGCTTCCTATACCTTGGACGATGACCAGACAACTTGGGAGAATGAGCTGCAGAAGATGACCCAGGAACAGGTAAGTCACTTGAACTTTGATAAGACCCTATTAAAATTCAACTGCTACTTAAGTTGTTATAACAGGAGCTACCTTGGTGAATTTAGTGCTCGTATTCAAGATTCTTAGCAGTGATTAGTTCTTCAACAGATATTAAGAATTACCATTTAAAGGAAGTGCTACTTCATTCTTCCCTCATTATAACTTGATGAAGTGTCAGAAAGGGCTAATTTAGATGGAAGAGGATTAAGGACAGTCTGTTCACATGCCATACATTATATCATGGAAGTGATGGCCACTAATACTTATGCCACTGAAGGAAAGACTGAGTTAAGGATACTTGGATAAGAGATTTCTGACGAGTCAATAGCATGTATCTTTACTTGTCTCTAGGGAACTATGGGTTACAACATACTAAGTTTTTAAGAAAATAACCATTAGATACATTACTTTAGGTTACCATCCCCATGCTGTATTTTCTGATCACCGTTGCCTGTTAAATTCCATTGGTTTACTTTTTTTAATGTGATTTTTTTTTTTTTAGTTCAATAAATAAATGAGAAGGTTAATCTGGAGACAAAATCTGAATATTTTAAAACTTTATTTACTTTAAGATTTTATTTTTAGAGAGAGGGCAAGAAAGGGAGAAAGAGAGGAGAGAAACATCAATGTGTGGTTGCCTCTCATGCATCCCCAACTGGGGACCTGGCCCACAATCCAGGCATTTGCCCTGACCGGGAATCGAACCAGCAACCCTTTAGTTCGCAGGCCAGCACTCAATACACTGAGTCACACCAACCAGGGCACAAAAACTATGAATTAAAGAAAGAGAAAACAGAATGAAGATAAAGATGGAGAGCAGATATGCAAAGTGAAAGAAAGAAAAATTGAATAAACACTTAAAAATAGATAAATAGAACAGTTCTTAAAACATTAATTCTAAGCGCGTTTTGTTTTTAGTTTAAGTTTTGTAAATTTACTGAAACTCTTCATCAGTATTTTGAAGCTATACACTATTCTTCAGCCAAATACTTCCTATTTGTTAAAACATTATTTGCTACTCATAATATGTGAAGGAAATTTGTGTTTAATACAAAACCTCTCATAATGTGATGTTAAATATAGCAGTGACAACTCACAGGTGGAGAAATGCTAGCTGGAATCTTAAGAGCTGTGCTTCCTTCCCCATGCCCAATAATAGACATATTTAGCAGCCTAATTAGTTATCCACCTTACTTATTTGATGTGAAAAGATCAGGCATACCTCTCAAATTTAGCATGTTGCTGTAGAAATTTTATCTCTTCTTGAAAGAGGAAAAGTATAAAGAGAAAACTAAATTGAATCCTAATAGCTCCTTTTGATATTAATAACCATGTAGTGAAACATGCAACTGAAAGCCCACCAGAAACAGAGCATCATGGGTTTTAACTTTAGAAGCTTTTGTTTCAAAATTTTGCAGAAAGACAGTGCTTCTTAAAACACTAACATAGGGATGTATCAAAATTTAATTAACATTAAATTATTTCTTTGTAAACAGCTGTCTTTGAAATGGAAAAAGTACTTTTATTCTCAGTCCTGTTTTTCAATATGTCTGAATGGACTTAACTTTCCAAAGGGAAAAATTATCTTCAGGGTGAGACCAAGATAGAAAATTTCAAACTAAGAATTTTTCCAAAAGTTTAAAATGAATGAAACCAGGAATTCATTAATATGACTTGCCATTGCACATTATGTTACAGTCAAGCTACTGTGATTCTCAAGACAATTTTCCTTACATGCATAAATTGTGATAATATCCTCATGTTCCCCTTTGATTGAGTATATGTTTCAGTTACTGAAGTTATTGCTTTAGATATGGGGAATAGTATCTCCAACAGGATTTCCTGGTAAACAGGTAACTTAGCTTATCTGTAAAGGAATACAGCAACTACCTCCACCTTCTACAAGCTTCTCCATGGCTGCTAAAGATTGTTAGAGAAACCAACCAATATGCTGCCCCCTTGACCCAAGTAAAAATTTAAGGGACTAGGCTATTGAGAAAAATGACCTCTAATAATACAAAATGATTTGCCTGTGAAAGTATTGAGATCAAGGTTTGACTTTAGTTTTTGAAGCCCAGGAAACATAAGATATGAATCACTGCCAGATATGCATAGTAGTTTATTTTGTGTGTGAGTGTGTGTGTTCTGTTTATATTTTTCTTTTGGAGATGTAGAGACTTCTGTGGCTGACATTTGTGTTATTCAACTCTGTATGTCTGGTGCATTTCACTGCTACCATGCTCCCTCAACTGGTACCCCATGAGGACAAGACAAGAGCCTTGTCTGTCCTTTTCAGTGCTGTATACTCTGTACTAAGAACAGTGCCTGTGATGTAGGATCTGCTCAATAAGTATTTGTTGAATGAATGAGAGAGAGGAAGAGGAAAGCAGGCAGATACGATAAAGTTCATGTTCCTTATCATGCCACACAAAACCTTCTTTCATTTGTCCTAATGACTAAATGCACATCCCTTCCCACCCTATCCTTGAAGCATACTAAACTGCTTACAATTTTTTAAATTATTAAACTACTTACAGCTTTTATGCTTCTGTCCTTTTGTTCATACTGATCCTTCTGCCTGAAGTGCCCTTCCCTAGCTTGTCTCCCCAGAAAATGCCTAAGTAAGAATCTGAGTTTTTAAGCTCACCTCAGACACAATTTTTTCCATGCATTCTGTTCCTGAATCCCCAAGCTCAATGTGCATCTCCTTTTTTAGGGCTTCTATAGTACCTAGAATATTTAGACTTCCATGTTTTCATGTCTGTCTTCCCATTCTGGACTTTCTGTTATTGAGGACATGAACCAGATCATTTTCATCTTAAAATTAGTACCAGGTACTTATTATCTGCTCAGTAACTTAAATGAGTGCTTTCATTTTATTATTCTAGTGAGTTTATTATTTTGTATTTTATATTTGTGATTCTTAATTCTCCATCTAGATAAGTTTCTTCACTGCCAGAACCATGTCTTGTATTTCTAAAGTACCTAGCATGGTACTATGCCTGCAGAGAATGCTTCATATATACTTAACTGATAATTTATTTGGTGACTCAAGACAGTTTCCTCAGTGCCATTTAGTAGCTTTAGATAATCTGTTGATGTCAGGAACTAGTTAGACTCCATCCTGCGTCATGACCCTATAATCTCTAACTGCCTGGCTTATAGAAATATAACCTGAATGGAGTTAACTTTGAAGATTTCCCAGAGTGGTTTTGTTTCCTTTGCCTTCTTAGAAACTGGCTACCATACAAGCTAAATTTATGGATTTGTTTATTTTTATTACCTTATCAATTTTTGCTTTATATATTTTGAAGCTCTGTTATTAAGTGCATACATGTTAAAGATTGTTATGTCTGTTGATGAATTGACTCTTTTATCGTTATGTCATGTCTCTCTTCAAAGCTGATAATATTCCATGCTCTGAAATCTACTTTGATATTAATGTAACCATTACATGTCTTTTTAAATTAGTGAGTACCTGGTCAATCTTTTTCCATATATTTGCTTTTAAGCTGTCTTTAAAGTGAGTTTCTTGTATACAGCCTATATCCACCAGCTCAGGAGGTACAGGTCTAGGGTGCAAGACTATCTCTCTTCTTCCTTGGTTCCAGAGAGTAGAGCTACCTCCTTGTTTCAATAGGCCAGTCTGACACTGAGGGCCAAAGGGCTGGATCTGCCACCCCAGAAAACCTGGAGGATAGAGCATCCAACAAAAGAGGATTATTCTTGAGCCTTAAAAGCTAATGGAATTTGCCCTTCTGTGTTTTAGACCTGCTTGAAACCCATGGTCCCTTTCACTTCTTTCCAATTTCTCCCTTTTGGAATGGAAATGTCTGGCCTAACTCTGTCCAACCATTACATTTTAGAAGTGGATAACTTGTTTGGTTTCAACAGGTTCATATCTAGAAAGGTATTTTGCCTCAGGATGAATCACACTTTGATACTCTCCCACATTTGATGTAGATAATATTTAGATGAGATTTGGGATTTAGAGTTGATGCTGGAATGGGTTAAGACTTTTGGGCTTTGGAGATGGGATTAAATGTGTTTTGCATGTTAGAAGGACATGATTTGGGGGGCTTTAGAGTGTGGGATGTTACAGGCTGAATTGTGACCACGAAAATTCATATGTTGAAGCCCTAAATTCTAGAACATAACTGTATTTGGAGATAGGGCCTGTAAATGAGACTGGTAGTGTGGGCCTAATCCAGTCTGACAGGTGACCCTATGAGAAAAGATTAGGGCATACATGAGACACTAGGGGTACATGCTTACAGAGGGGGAAAAAAAATGTTAGGACATAACAAGAAGGCGATTACCTTTAAGCCAAGTAGAGAGGCCTCAAAAGAAATCAACCCTACCAACACTTTAATGTTGAATTTCTAGCTTCCAGAACTGTAAGAAAATACTTGTCAATAAACTCCCTAGTCTATGGTAGCTTGTTATGACAGTCCTAGTAAACTAATATACATTTTTTCTTTTTTTACTCAATCCTTTCATTCCCCCCAAACTTCCCATATACCTTTACTTTGAAAAATACTCTTCTCTGTGTACAGAATTCTAGGTTGACAGTTCGTTTTTGTTTTTTAATACTTTAAAGATGCTGTTCCATTTTCTTCTGGTTTCCATTGTTTCTGGTAAAAAAAATCTGCTATTTATCTTTTTTAAAAAATATTTTATTGTTTATACATTACAGTTATCCCAGTTTTCCCCCTTTGCCCCCTGCACCCAACTCACCCTCCCATTCCCACAGTCAATCCCCACAGTATTGTCCATGCCCATGGGTCATGCATAAATGTTCTCTGACTATTCCCTTCACCTTCTTTCAGTCAGTCACCACCTCTGCCATACCTTCATATAGCTGTCAGTCTGTTCCATGTTTCTATGCCTCTGATTCTGTTTTTCTCATCAGTTTATTTTGTCCGTTAGATTCCATTTATAAATGAGATCATATATTTGTCTTTCACTGGTTTATTTCA